CCGGCTGACCGAGACCTCCTGTGCAATCCCGCTTCACCAGCCGCTGGTTTCGCCCCTTACCGGTCAGGCTGAAGAATTTGTTGTTAACGGACTTCTGAAAAGTTCAATTTTCCGTGTTCTGGCTGTGTTTTCTGTTGCTAATATTTAGTTGTCTCTAAACTTGGTTGTGTTAGAAGGCACGGCACATCCACCTATGCCTCCATCTTGGCGGAAGTCCAGAACATTTTTCCTGTAGGTATTGGAGGAGCTTGAATCCATGGTACCTATCTGAAGTTTCCATGGTAATCACGTGGATAGAACATTCTTTTGTCTTTGCACTCAAGCATTAGGGCATTGAGTTTTTCAAAATGATTGGTCATTCGATGACTTAAAAATGGAACAGAAAAGAAGATGGGTCAGTTCTTTTATAAAGTTATTTTTTTTTAATTTTCAGTTACAGTTTACATTCTATATTATTTTGTATTAGTTTCGCCTCTATAGCATAGTGGTTAGATAATCATTACATTACATTACAAAATGTTCCCCCTCCCCTGAATTTCCAGTACCCACCTGGAACTGTATATAGTACAATATTACTGACTATATCTTCTGGTATACTTTATATCCCTGTGACTATTTCTGTTCTCTTTTCATTGCCTTATTTATAAGTAAGATCTGTTGGTTTTCTTTTTTAAGCTTTTCACTTTAGCAACATTTTGATATCAAAATAAATTGGCACAAGTTTCTTAAAAAGTTAAATTTAAATGTATTATATAATTCATTCCTAGGTATCTAACCAAGGGAAATGAAAACACATTCATGTGAAGACTTGTATGTGAATATTTATAGCAACATTGTTCATAATAGCCAAAAAGTAGGAACAGTACAAATGTCCATCAAGTGGTAAATAGATAAACCATAGATGTGGTTATTTGTATATTAAACAAACCACAATGTAGTTATCCATACAATGAAATATTACTTTCCCATAAAAAGGAATAAAGTACTGATACATGCTACACCATGTTTAAACCTCATAAACATTGTTCCAAGCCAGCAATTTTCAACTGGTTTGCTGCCACTGGCACACAGGTGTCTTACAAGAATTTTTAAATGTGCAATACCTGACTATTTAGTCACGGGCACTGAACTTTTTTTCCTTTTCAGTGTCAAATTAAAAAAATGACAACAGCCAACACAACAATAACAGTTTAGTGTGAATGAATCAAAGTTACACCTCCCCCCCCCCCCCCCCCCCAGATTTGTAAAAAATAAAATACTAGGTTGGCCAAAAAGTCTGGTCAGTTTTTTCCATAAAATAAAAGACATTAAAAATGTTTTTCAATATAGTTTATTGATTATGGTATTACAGTTGTCCCATTTTACCCCCCCATTCCCTTTCGCCCTGCACACCCTCTCGCTTCCACATTCCCCTCCTTTAGTTCATGTTCATGTATCACAAGTTCTTTACCTTCTACATTTCCCATACTGTTCTTACCCTCCCCCTGTCTATTTTCTATCCACCAGTCTATGCTACTTTTTTTCTGTACCTTCTCCCCCCTTCTCCTCCTCCCACTTCCATGTCACTAACCCTCCATGTGATCTCCATTTCTGTGGTTCTGTTCCTGTTCTAGTTGTTTATACTTAGTTTGTTTTGGTTTTAGATGTGGTTGTTAATAATTGTGAGTTTGCTGTCATTTTACTGTACATGTTTTGTATCTTCTTTTACCAAGGTATATCCCTTTAACATTTCATATATTAAGGGCTTGGTGGTGATGAACTCCTTGAATTTGATCTTATCTGAGAAGCCCTTTATCTGCCCTTCCATTCTAAATGGAAGCTTTTCTGGATAGAGCAATCTTTGATGTAGGTCCTTGGCTTTCATGACTTGGAATACTTCTTTCCAGTCCCTTCTTGCCTGTAAGATCTCTTTCGAGAAATCAGGCAACAGTCTGATGGGAACTCCTTTGTAGGTAACTGTCTCCTGTTCTCTTGCTTCTTCTAGAATTCTCTCCTTCAATTTCATCTTGGCTAATGTAATTATGATGTGCCTTTGTGTGTTCCTCCTTGGGTCCAACTTCTTTGGGACTCTCTGAGCTTCCTGGATTTCCTGGAAGTCTATTTCCTTTGCCAGATTGGAGAAGTTCTCCTTTATTATTTGTTCAAATAAGTTTTGCATTTGTTGCTCTTCTTCTTCTCCTTGTGGTATCCCTATCATCCAGTTGTTGGAATGTTTAGAGATGTCCTGGAGGTTCCTAAGCCTCTTCTCATTTTTTTCAATTCTTATTTCTTCATTTTTTTCTGTTTGGTTGTTTCTTTCTTCCTTCTGGTCCACTCCATTGATTTGAGTCCCAGTTTCCTTCCCATCACTATTGGTTCCCTGTGCATTTTCCTTCATTTCACTTAGTGTGGCCTTCATTTTCTCATCTAATTTGCGACCAAATTCAACCAATTCTGTGAGCATCTTGATCACCAATGCTTTGAACTGTGCATCTGATAGGTTGGCTATCTCTTGTTACTTAGTTGTACTATTTTTGGAGCTTTGATCTGTTCTTTCATTTGGGCTTCTTTTTTTTTTTTGGTCTTGATGTGCCTATTCTGTAGTGTGGGCCGGAGCCTTAGATGTTCACCAGGGTGGGGCAACCCAGTGGCTGGATTGTGACACAGTATGTCAGGGAGGGTGTCAGAGAGGGAACAGTGGCTCTTGCTTCGCTCTCTGTTGGATTTCAGTCCTTTCCACCACTTCCCCCAAGCAAACTGGGCCCTCTGGTGCTGATTCCTGGGATGGTGGGCTTGTGTACATTCTAGGACCCTGTGGATCTCTCCAACGAACTTTTCTGTGAGGCTAGGAGTCTCTCCCTGCACCTCAAGTCCCACAGTTGTTTTCAATCTGTGTTTGAGGCTTTGTTTCCTGGCGCTGGGACCCTCGGTTGTGTGGTCTGCCTTGTTCCCCAGTTTTGCCTGGTTTATCTGCATGGGAATGTGGGACCGCCCGGTCTGCCAGCTGCCTTGTGCGCCTTGCCACCCCCCCTTACCCCCTTACAATTCCCCACCTCACTGGGTCCGCCAGCTGCTGCTTTGCTGCAAGTTCTCTCCGCCCCTCCTACCAGTCTAGATGAATGTTTCTTTTTTAACTTCTTGATTGAAATTCTGGATGAATGTTTCTTTTTTAACTTCTTGGTTTGTTAGACTTTTATATAGTTCAATTTTCCATCAGTTCTGGTTGTTTTTTTGGTTCTGAATTTTTGTTGTCCTTATTTTGGTTGTGGGAGGAGGCACAGTGTGTCTACCTATGCCTCTATCTTGGCCAGAAGTTAAGACATTTTTAATTTTTACCAATAACTTTATCAGTTTAGATATTTTGGGTATGTTGGCTATCTCTGCTGTTGGCTTCTAGTGAATAAAGGCCAAAAGTGCTGCTAAACATCTTCCTGTGCATAAGACAGCCCCCAGGAAAGGATTATTTGGTCAAAATGTCAATAGTACCAAGAAACTTTGGAAACCAGTTTGGCACATTCAGTCAGTCACTGCACAAATATACTGCACAAATCTTTTTTTGTTTCAGTTGCATTTTTATCTTTCTTGAAATAATAAAGCGTAATATGCTAAAAATGTTGCGTATTATCTTCCATCTTCAATATTAAGCTGCAGAAAAATTCACCCATTTTGATAACTTTTTTTTTAGATTTTATCTATCTATCTATCTATCTATCTATCTATCTATCTATCTATCTATCTATCTATCTATCTATCTTTAGAGGGGAAGGGAAGGAGAGAGGGAGAGAAACATCGGTGTATGGTTGCCTTTTGGGCATCCCCTGCTGGAAACTGGCCTGCAGGGAAGCAGCCTGCAACCCAGGCATGTGCCCTGACTGGGAATCGAACCGCGATCCTTTGATTCGCAGGCCTGTGCTGTATCCACTGAGCTACACCAGTCAGGGCTTGATAACTTTTTTTAATGTACGCTGATATGACAGCTGTCACAATATAATTTTTAAAAATTGTTTCAAATGAAGTTAAAGACACCTAAGTGCTATTAAAACCATGTTATGGAAAAAAATCAGCGAACTTTTGGCCAACCCAATATATTTTTTGGAGTGCCACAGAATTTTAGTAACTAGTTTATGTATGGATGAAAAATGTTGAAAATCACTGTGCTAAGTGAACAAATCCAGAAAAAGGAACATGTATTGTGCGATTTCATTTATGAAGTATCAACAAAAGGCAGATTTATGGAGACAAAGTACATTACTGGTAGACTAGAGCTGAGAATAGAAACAAGAAATGACTTGCAAATAGGCATGAGGTTTCTTTTTTGGGCTGATGGAAGTGTTCTAAAATTGGATTGTGGTGATGGTTGCACAACTCTGTGAATATACTAAAAACTACTGTATTGTATACTGTAGGTGAATTTTATAGTATGTAAATTACACCTCAGTAAAGCTGCTAAAAATGGTCAGATTTTTAAATTTGATATTTGTAATATTTCTTATATTATCATATCCTATTTTCATTATTAAAAATTTTCATTTCTAAGTTTAATTTTCAAAGACTGCTAATGTCAAATCAGGTTAATTGATAATGCTAAAAATGGCCAGCATTTCTAAAATAGTTGCTGGGCATTATACTAAGTACTTTTTACAGATTCTCTCAGAAGCACTATGATATAGGTACTGTTATCCCCATTGTACAGCTGAGGAAATAATGCTCAAGTTGTCTTAAGTCACATAGCTAGCTAGATAAGAAGTCAATCAGGCAGGAATGCAAGAGAGACATTCTTGTCCTCTATCTTTCATGTGTGAAAATGCAGTGTTTGGGGTGGAAATTTATATACTGTTTATACACTGTCAATGTGTTAAACATTCTTGTGTGGATGCCACTGTGCTGAATACCTCACACAGCTATTTATGTGTCATGTCTTGGGACATTCAAATGGGTGTTTGGTATTGCCTGGCTGCCATGAAGCTTATACAGCATAGCAAATCTTATTAATCAGTTTTACTTCTTTTTCTCCACCCTAGTCTTAATTTTAAAGACCCTGAAGCAGTCAGAGCTCTGACTTGTACCCTCCTGAGGGAGGATTTTGGACTTTCTATTGATATTCCATTGGAAAGACTAATTCCTGCAGTTCCCTCGAGACTCAACTATATTCATTGGGTAGAAGATCTGATTGGTCATCAGGACTCTGATAAAAGTACTCTCCGAAGAGGAATTGACATAGGTATGTGGGGGTTTTTTTGTTGTTTTTTTTTAATTTATTTTATTGATTATGCCATTACAGTTGTTCTATTTCCCCACTTCATTTCCCCTCCACCCTTTACACCCCTCCCCCACCATTCCCCCTCTTTCATTTATGACCACATGTCTCAAGTTCTTTAGATTCTATATTTCCCATACTATTCTTGCCCTCCCCCCTATTTTCTACCTACCATCTATGCTACTTATTTTCTGTACCTTCTCCCCCCTTCTCCTCCTCGCACTCCCCTGTTGCTAACCCTCCATGTGATCTTCATTTCTTTGGTTCTGCTCCTGATCTAGTTGTCCTCTTAGTTTGCTTTTGTTTTAGGTGTGGTTCTTAATAACTGTGAGTTTATTGTCCTTCCACTGTTCATCTTTTTTATCTTCTTTTTCTTAGGTAAGTCCCTTTAACATTTCATATAATAAGTGCTTGGTGATGATGAACTCCTTGAACTTGACCTTATCTGAGAAGCACTTTATCTGCCCTTCCATTCTAAATGAAAGCTTTGCTGGATAGAGCAATCTTGGATGTAGGTCTTTGGATTTCATGACTTGAAATACTTCTTTCCAGCCCCTTCTTGCCTGTAAGGTCCCTTTTGAGAAATCCGCTGACAGTCTGATGGGAAGTCCTTTGTAGGTGACTGTCCCCTTAGCTCTTGCTGCTTCTAGAATTCTCTCCTTCATTTCAATCTTGGCTAATGTAATTATGCTGTGCCTTGGTGTGTTTCTTCTTGGGTCCAACTTCTTTGGGACTCTGAGCTTCCTGGATTTCCTGGAGATCTATTTCCTTTGCCAGATTGGGGAAATTCCCCTTTATTATTTGTTCAAATAAATGTTCCACTTGTTGCTGTTCCTCTTCCCCTTCTGGTACCCCTGTAATTCAGATGTTGGAATGTTTAAAGATGTCCTGAAGGGAGCCCTGGCTGGTGTAGGTCAGTGGGTTGAGCGCGGGCCTACCAACCAAAATATCGCAGTTCGATTCCCAGTCAGGGCACATGCCTAGGTTGCAGGCCAATTTCTAGCCGGGAACACACCAGAAGCAACCATACATTGACGTTTCTCCTCCTCTCTTCTTCCCTTCTCTTCTAAAGATTAAAAAAAAAAAAAAAAAGAATGGCCCTCCAGTTAGGGTCTTCATTAAAAAAAAAAAAAAAGATGTCCTGAAGGTTCCTAAGCCTCTCTTCATTTTTTTTGAATTCTTGTTTCTTCGTCCTTTTCTGTTTGGTCATTTTTTTCCTCTTTCTGGTCCACTCCTTTGATTTGAGTCCCAGTCTCCTTTCCATTACTATTGGTTTCCTGTGCATTACCATTCATTTCAATTAGTTTAGCCTTCATATGTTCCTCTAATTTGTAACTAAAATCAACCAGTTCTGTGAGCATCCTGATCACTGGTGTTTTGAACTGTGCATCTGAAAGTTTGGCTATTTCTTCATGGCTTAGATTTATCGGCTCTGGGGCTCTGAGTTGTTCTTGAGCTGTGTTTTGATCTGTTTGTGCCTGTTAGGTATGAAGAGCGGAGTCTTAGTTGTTCACCAGGGCGGGCCACCCAGGTCCCTGGTTCGTGACGCTGGGCATGGGGGCAGGTCAGAGAGAGGCCACCCAGGTCGCTGGTTTCTGACGCTGTACGTGGGGGCGGGTCAGAGAGGGACAATGGCGGTCCCCTCTGCCACTTCCCGCCACTGGGGCCTGCACGGTCTGTCTCACCGCTCGCTCCTTCACTGGTTTATCTGGGTGTGAATGTGTGACTGTGGTCAGCCCTCAGTGGGTCTGCTCGCTACTCCACACCTGGGATCTGCCTACAGCTGCCAGTGTGCCTGGGTTGCGTGCCTGGGTTTGTCCAGTGGATCTTTCCTGCCTGATCTTACTCTGCTGCTGGCTCTGCCCCTCTTACCAGTTTGGCTGAAGGGTTCGTTGTTATCAGACTTCCGTGTAGTTCAATTTTCTGTGGTTTGGCTGCGTTTTTGTTGCTAAAACTTTGTTGTTTTTAAACTTGGTTGTGCGAGGAGGTACAGTGCTCCCACCTACGCCTCTATCTTGGCAGAAGTCCACGGTATGTGGTTTTAAATTCTTTTTACTAAATGTCAGTTTTATAAATTTCTCAAGGTCAGAATCTTCGTAAACTCCTCTGGTTATTCATGAAAGAATGTGACTATAGATATTACTGCTCTTATTCCTATACCAGCGTTTTCTGCCACTGATTTCTCTTAAGAAAAAGTTGTCAGCACCGAATAGAGAGCAGATAGGTGAGAGGAAGCGAGGCTCTTGTTTTTTAGCTTTTCAGATTACGGTATTAGTATCTGTGTATATTGGGTATTATTTTTACTCTGAATTATTTAGCATTAGTAATGTAGTTTCCATATTGTGTTTTTTAGTGATGGCCATTTGGTAAAAGATCATGTGGGCCTGAATACTTTCAGGAACCTCTTGAGTGATTATTTGTAGAGGGTATTTAATCCAAAATTAAAAAGTGAAGAAAAGTCACTGAGTTAGAGTAAGATGTTCTCAATTGTAAACTGCAATGGAGGAGACTGTTCAATCTGATTCATTTAGAAGAGTAAGTGGATATACAGAAAGAAAGGAAGCCAGGGTGTGTTTTGCAATTATAAATGTATTATATGTTTGTCATAGCTGATATTTCTATTTGATAACATTTAAATTTCTTTTTAATTCTGTGACCTTTACCAGTCCTTTATGAAAAAAATTAAAAGCTTTGTGGCTCTATTTTTAAATATAGTATAGTTGATAGCAGACACCATTTTTAGATAGTAAATGTTTAATTATGACATTTGCATGCATTTTCAGTCCTTGTCACGCATGGCATTTTTAGCAGCATTCATTATTGACCCCTCCTTTCTTTTTAATACACTTTCCATTGGCATCCATGACAACAGATTCCTGGTTTTCCTCTTTCATTTGTAGTCTCTCTTCTCCTCTTTTCCAGCTCACTTTCCACTAGGTGTTCAAATCCTAAAGCTCAGTCTTTAGCTCTTTTCTTGTTTAGCACCTTACCACTAGGCAATTTCATCCACATCTAGGACTTTGTTTTCCACTTCCATGCAGATAACCTACAAATTTATGTATTTCTTCAATTCAGATTACTTTTCTAGTCTCATATACATGAGAAACTTGAATATCTCAGAAACATTTTAGACTTTGCCATGTCGAAGACCAGACTCATATTCTTTCTTTTGAATCTTGATCCTCTTGTGTATGTGTGTGTGGTGTTTTTTTTAATGTTTTAAAAAAAACATTAAAGGAGAAGGGAAGGAGAAAGAGAGGGAGAGAAACATCTGTGTGTGGTTGCCTGTCACACAACCCCTACAGGGGACCTGGCCCACAGCCCAGCCATGTTCCCTGGTGGGGAATTGAACTGGCAACCCTTTATTTCACAGGCCCATGCTCAATCCTCTGAGCCACACCAGCCAGGACTCTTCCTTTGTTTTTTATTTCCCCTCTCCTCACTGAGAATGTCTGTCACCATATCCTGTTGATTTTCTCTCAAATATTTCCTAAATCATCTACTTTTCTTCATATCCACTGTCACCATCTCAGTTCAAGTTACCATTAACTCTCCTGGTCTACAGAATAAGCTTCTCATCTACTCTCTTGTCATCCACTCTGGTGCCTCTCTATTCCATTCTCCAGAAAGTAAAACTCATATCTGATCACATCTTTACTACTTTAATGGCTTCCTATTGTTTTTGTGAAAAATACCCAAAATCTTGACTTGGCCTATGAAAATTTTCATTGTCTGATTTCTGCCCTCTTTTCTAGGCCTCCCTAGAGCCTCATCTTATGTGCTTCTCTCTTTTTTTTTTTTTTTTCTGCACTCTTTAATTCTTCTGTGAAGGCATTATACCTCCAGGCCTATGTACACATTGTTCCCTCTATATGGATCTTCCCACCCTTACCTTATGAAATAGTCTCATTTACAGTAGTTATTAACTCAAGCCTTATTTCATCAGGAAAGCCTTCTCTGACCTTTCAGCATAAGTTCCTTGATTATGAACTTTGGAAAACCATGTTTCTTCCTTGGCGTTATTTTTTAGTTTTTAACTACACATTCACTTGTCTGATTGATTAATGTCTTTCTCTACCACTAGGTTGCAAAGTGCAGAGCCTGTATTTTGTGCTTACTAACAAGGCCTAACAAAGGTTCTAGTACATAGTAGGTATCCAGTAAATGATTCGTTTAATATTGATAAATATGTGATTCTTTCAACATTCAAAAATATGAACAACCCATATAAGCTGAGCAGAATATAAAAATAACGGAGTTTAACAAAAGCTTTTGCTCTTTTATGTTAATGGCAGAAGATTGGCTTGATGGGTTGTAGAAAGCTTAAAAAGCTTGAGAGCCTATTTGGTACTAATTTATTTTAATTATGCCCTAACCCTTCTAGAATAACACTTGGGGATATAGGAGGTTAATGGATTTTAGCTCTTCATAAGGTGCACTGGTGCTAAAATCACATTCATTCTAATTAGGGTTTTATATAAATTCTTCCCCCAGACTCCCTTCAGTGTGCTCTAATTCTATGATTGTACACTTTCCATTTTTATTTATCATTACAAGTTCTTTTTTTTTTCTTCCATGTAAAATATTGTTCAGCTTTCTGAGGTGCTTAGGATGTTAGAATGCAAGTCTTGTGGTCTAAAGAATTGAGAAACTTGATTTTTTTTTTCCGGAAGATAAGCCTTTACCTGTGTCTGTCATTAAGCAACTGAAGAAAACTTTTTCATGTGTTTATTTGTTTTGCTTTAAATAAAATTGAAATATAAAGAGAGAGGCAATCATGTGAGAATCAAGGGCCTGGGGTCTGGTCTGTAATTTTTTTTTCCATGCAAAGATGAAAGTGCTACTTGAAATTCCTTACTCTGAGCGACTGTGGCTTACCAGAATGGCTAACAGGTAGCTAAATAACTGGCATCTGAGAGGAGCTTGAGTACCCTTTACCATCCTTTCCTCATGTTGTCACATGTCCTCAAGGAGGTGTGTGTTCTGTACCATCAGGGCCTGGATGTAAACATGATAGAAAATTTAGCAATCATGGTGACTGTCAGAGAGCTTTAAAGTTCTAGCCATCAGTTGTCCTGTGTTTTACTAGACTGTTCAGAATACTTAATGAGGAAGCAGTAAAATGAGTCTGGATTTCCTCTGGGTTAGGAGTATCTCTAGCTTCCCTTCTTCTGCACCAAGATATGACCAGGGAAAACAGGCCTGGAGTGGCTGGTATGGGCTAACTACTTAGACCCTTAGGAGAAACACCAGATTTTCTTCTCTTTAAAGTTTAATTGGCTGCCCTGGCTGCTGTGGCTCAGAGGATTGAGCTCAGGCCTGCAAACCAGAGGGTCACTGGTTTGATTCCCAGTCAGGGCATATGCCTGGGTTGCTGGGACACTTCCCCTCTCTAAAAATTAGTAAATAAAATCTTTTTAAAAACCATAAAGTCTTACTGGCCAAGATTAGTCAGTGGTTATAAAAACAGTATTTGAGGTTAGTATATAGTCCATCTCATCCATGGTTAAGGGTTCTACATACAAATTTAGGACCAACCCCTAGTTGTCAAAGAGTGATCTTTGCCTGGAGCATTTGCCTCTGAATGTCTTCCTTAAAATTTTGGTGGGGCAAGCCAGTGATTGATGTTTTGGTTCTGGATGAAATGTGTTTCTATGTCTCCACATCTAAGATGCATTTTCTCTTTAGTTTTAGCTTTTGTTTTTTTTTTTATAAATTCTGGTTTCCTTCAAGTAACAATTCACAGATATGTGAAGAATTGAGTGGTTTGTTACCATAAAAACTTTATAACTTATATATTTTTTCTGTTTTGGGGAGTGGGGTGTCTAATTTAGTACTGTGGTGCTTTAACAATTAGCATTGATTTCTTTTAAGAAAATCCAGTTTTGTGTGAAATTTAAAATGAAGACACTTTATAAATCAAATTAAAAAATTTAAAGCTTTGTTTATTTATTTTTAGAGGAGGGAAAGGAGGGAGAAGAAAGGGAAACGTCCATGTGTGGTTGCCTCTCATGAGCCCCCTACTGTGGACCTGGTCCACAATCTAGGCATATGCCCTGACTGGGAATTGAACCAGTAACCTTTGGTTCACAGGCTGGCACTCAGTCCACTGAGTCACACCAGCCAAGGCCAAATTAAATTGTTTTAACAATTTTCAGTTAATTGGTTCTGTATTCCTTGATCACCAGCCAATTATGCACACTTTATTTTACATATAACATACAAGGAAAAGAGATCAGCAAGATTTGTATCCTCTAAGAAATTTGAATCTAATTATGAGGCAAGACTACGACACATGAAACAACGGAGGAACCCAGTAGCCACAGTATGTACATAATTAGGTACCAGCTTGTGAATTAAACTGTCAAGGCCATAAGAAGTCTAAGAAGGTAGCCCTGGCTGATGTAGCTCAGTGGGTTGAGTGCCGCCCTGCAAACCAAAGGGTCACCAGTTGGATTCCCAGTCAGGTCACATGCCTGGGTTGCAGGCCAGGTCCCCAGAGGGGGCCACATGAGAGGTAACCACACATTGATGTTTCCCTCTCTCTTTCTCCCTCCCCTCCCTTCTCTCTAAAAATAAATAAGATCTTTTAAAAAAAAGAATTCTGAGAAGATAAGAATGGTGTTTTTGCTTGCTATTCTTACCTCTTCCTCACGTATGTGCAGTGTGATTTGGATTTTCACTTTACTAGGTACTGGGGCATCCTGCATCTACCCTTTACTTGGAAGTACCTTAAATGGCTGGTACTTCCTTGCAACAGAAGTCGATGATATGTGCTTCAACTATGCAAAGAAAAACGTGGAACAGAATAACTTATCTGATCTTATAAAAGGTTAGTTCTACAGAACAAATGTCCCTTTTAACCTTTACTTATTAACCTGTTTTTCTAATTTAACACATCTTATCTTTTGCTTTAATATACAAACTTTGGTAATTGAAAAAGCCTGGTACATTGTAATTAGATTTGCTGTGTTTTTTGTTTTGTTTTGTTTTATCAGAAGTAATTCAGAAAGAAATACGGTAAATACAGTCAGTCCTCGTAATTTGTGGATTCTGTACTTGTGGATTTGCCTACTTAGGGTTATTTTTAACCCCAAAATATATGTTCCTGGTGCTTTGGTGGTCATCTACAGACATGTGCAAAGTGGCAAAGAACTTGAGCCACCCAACGTGCATGTTCCCAGCTACAGTTGAACAAGGCGATGCTCTGCCTTCTTGTTTCAGCTCTTATACTGTAGTCAAGGATCCTTTCCATGGGCTGTTTAGTGCCACTCTTTTTTTCACTTCCGTGCTTTTTCTTGGTGATTTTGCTATTTAAAATGGCCCCTAAATATAGTGCTTAAGTACTACCTAGTGTTCCATAAGTATAAGAAGGCGTGATATGCCTTACAGAGAAAATATGTTAGATAAGCTTCTTTCAGACAGGGTTATAGTGCCATTCACCATGAGTTGTGTTAATTAACCAACAATGTATATTAAATAAAGTGTCTTTAAACAGAAACATGCATAAAAATTGGTTGATGAAAATGTTGGACCAGAGGCTTGCAGTTACCTAACTCATCTTTTATTTCTTTTTTTTTATTATTTATTTTTTTATTGATTATGCTGTTAACAGTTGTTCTATTCCCCCTTTCATTCCCCTCCACCCTACCCCCCCGTCCCCACCATTAACCCCCCCTTTAGTTTATGACCATGTGTCTCAAGTTTAGATTCTATATTTCCCATACTATTCTTGCCCCCCCCATCTATTTTCTATCTACAGTCTATGCTACTTATTTTCTGTACCTTCTCCCCCCTTCTCCTCCCACTCCCCTGTTGCTAACCCGCCTTGAGATCTTCATTTCTATGTTTCCACTCCTGATCTAGCTGTCCTTTTAGTTTGCTTTTGTTTTAGATGTGGTGGTTAATAACTGTGAGTTTGTTGTCCTTTCACTGTTCATGTTTTTTTAACTTAGATAAGTCCCTTTAACATTTCATATAATAAGGTCTTGGTGATGATGAACTCTTTGAATTTGATCTTAATCAGAGAAGCACTTTATCTGTCCTTCCATTCTAAATGAAAGTTTTGCTGGATAGAGCAATCTTGTATTTCTTTTCACAGCCAGTTAATTCAGTATACACTAATTCAGTGATTGTGATGACTCGATAGAACACAAATAAATGTTCATATACTGCAAATAGTGAGGATCAACAATATAAAAAGTAACTTAGTCACTAAGATTTTAAAAGGAAGAAAACCCAACTGTTGATTAAAATATACCATTTTTTTTTTTTTAATTTCAGTACATGGAACTGTGCTACAAATAGTTGAATTTCCTTAATAATCAGTTACTTTTTATTTTTGTGTTTATTTAATATATAAAGGGCTGGATATTCTGTTTTGGGGTGTTTTTTTCCATTAAAGGGAGTCCCATAAAGAAACTCCCAAAAGTCTCTTTATGGAAGAAATAGGCTTTTCTTGCTAGTGTTAAACATATGATTGTAAGAAGAGATAGTGATATTGTTGATGCATTTTTTAAGGTATCCATCTGTATTACAGATAACTCTAAAATCTAGCTTTGAACAGTGAACATTTATTATCATAGTTTCAATGAATCGGGAGTTTGGGCATGGCGTAGTTACGTGGTTCTGGTTCAGAATTTTTCATGGGGTTGCCATCATCTGAAGGATTGACTAGAGGTAAAGCTCCTTCCACCCCGACTGGTGCGGCTCAGTTGGTTTGGTGTAATCCTGCATAGTGAGAAGTCACCAGTTCAGTTCCCCATCAGCACATATGCCTGGTTACAGGTCCCTGATTGGGGCACATACGAGAGGCAACTGATCAGTGTTTCTCTCTCACATTGATGTTTCTCTCCCTCTCTTCCTCTCTCCCTTCTCCCCTCTCTAAAAAGAAGTAAAAATTATTTAAAAAATATTTGCTTCCAAGATGGCTCACTTCGATGGCTCTTGCCAGGAAGCCTTAGTTCATTGCCGTGTGGATCTCTTCCAAGGGTTGCTTGGCCATCCTTACAGCATGTCAGCTGGCTTTTCCTAGAGCAGGTAATTCAAGAGATAGGACAAGCAAGAAGCCATATTACTTTTTATGGCCTAGCCTCAAAAGTGACACCCTTTTACTTCCATCATGTTCTATTCAATAAAAGCAAGTCTGTGAATTCAGCCTATACTTAAAGAGAAAGAAGTCAAGCTCTACCTTTTGAAGGGACTAGTATCAAAGAATTTGTGGACATACTTGAAAACTACCACAGCATTTATAGTAGTTAACAGTTCCTATGTTTTCTCCTAGTGGTAAAAGTACCACAGAAAACACTCCTGATGGATGCTCTTAAAGAAGAATCGGAGATAGTCTATGACTTTTGCATGTGCAATCCTCCCTTTTTTGCCAATCAGTTGGAAGCCAAGGTAAAATATTTTCTCCTTTAAAGTAATTGAATATTCATCTAAGTTTACTTTGTTTGCAAAAATAAGAACAAAAAACAGCTTTTGTTTGGGAATCTAAATGTGGCTTCTTTGCTAATTAAGCATATGAAAACACAAACATAATTTAGATTGACTTAACAAGAAAGGACATTTATTGGTTTACATATCTGAGAATCCAGCAGTAGTGTTGACTTTAGGAACAGGTTGATCAAAGGGTTTATAGTAGTATCAAAGGTGAGGCTCAAGTTTTGCAGGTTTGTCTTGGCTCTGACCTAGCCCTTGGTTGGTTTTGTTTCCAGGCTGGTTTAATTGTGACAGAGTAATATTTGAGGAGGGGGAGAGAGTGAGGGAAGAGCTCTTTTCTTCCCTAAACTATTCAACTTTTGGGTTTCTTCTGATTGGACCAATTGAGGTTACAGTGTACTGCTGAATTGGGTTAATTGGCTTAGGGAGGAGGTTACTGTTTTTACTGCCACCTATCATTTGATAGGAAGCAAATTTCCAATTTAGTCTTTACAACTTCCAATGAAAAATGTATATGAATATGGAAAGAAATGACACTGGATTACAAACAAAGAACCTGCCCTGGCTGGTGTAGGTCAGTGGATTGAGCACAAGCCTGTGAAGCAAAGGGTCGCTGGTTTGATTCCCAGTCAGGGCACATGCCTGGGTTGCAAGCCAGGTCCCCAGTAGGGGACACATGAGAGGCAACCACACACTGATGTTTCTCTCCCACTCTTCTTCCTGTCCCTCTCTCTAAAAATAAATAAAATATTTAAAAAACAAGAAAAAACAAAGAACCTGGACTTCCGGCCAAGATGGAGGCGTAGGTGGAAACACTGTACCTCCTTACACAACCAAACTTAAGGACAACAAAGATTTAGAAACAAATACACAATCATAACAGACAGAAAATTGAACTGTACCAAAATCTGACAAAAATGGACCATTCACCCAGACGGGTAAGAGAGGCGGAGTCGGCAGCCAGCAGAGAGGGGTCCCGGGAGGAAGATGTTGTGGTTGGCAGATGCTGGGGTGGGGAGGAAACAAGCAGACCCAACCCAGTGAGGCACGCAAGGTGGTTGGCTGACTGTGGACACACATTCGCAAGCAGATAAACCAGGCAAAAAAAGGGGGGGGGGCAGTGAGACACACCATGCAACCCAGGGACCCAGCTTTGGGAAATAAAGCCTAAGCACCAATGAAAAAAACTTGGGGGTTGAAGTGTCGGGAGACATTCCCAGTCTCACAAGAGAGTTTGCTGGCGAGACCCATAGGGTCTTAGAACGTACAGAAGCCCACACACCCAGGAAACAGCACCAGAAGGTCCCAGTTTGCTTGGGGGAAGTGGTGGAAGGGACTGAAATCCAACAGAGAGCAAAGCAAGAGCCACTGTTTCCTCTCTGACCCCCTCTCTGACATACTGTGTCAACATAGCCACTGGGTTGCCCCGCCCTGGTGAACACTTAAGGCTTTGGCACACACTGCAGAACAGGCACGTCAAGACCAAAAAAAAAAACAACAAACAAGGCCCAAATGAAAGAACAGGTCAAAGCTCCAGAAATAATACAACTAAGTAACAAAAGATGCCAACCCATCAAATGCACAGTTCAAAGCATTGGTGATCAAGATGCTCACAGAACTGGTTGAATTTGGTCACAAATTAGATGAAAAAATGAAGGCCACACTAAGTGAAATGAAGGAAAATGCACAGGGAATCAATAGTGATGGGAAGGAAACTGGGACTCAAATCAATGGAGTGGACCAGAAGGAAGAAAGAAACAACCAAACAGAAAAGAAAGAAGAAGTAAGAATTGAAAAAAATGAGAAGAGGCTTAGGAACCTCCAGGATATCTTTAAACACTCCAACATCCGAATTATAGGGGTATCAGAAGGGGAAGAGGAACAGCCACAAGTGGAACACTTACTTGAACAAATAAAAAGGAGAACTTCCCCAATCTGGCAAAGGAAATAGACTTCCAGGAAGTCCAGGAAGTTCAGAGTCCCAAAGAAGTTGGACCTAAGGAGGAACACACTAAGGCACATCATAATTACATTAGTCCAGATTAAAATGAAGGGGAGAATCCTAGAAGCAGCAAGAGATAAGGGGACAGTCACCTACAAAGGACTTCCCATCAGACTGTCAGTGGATTTCTCAAAAGGGACCTTGCAGGCAAGAAGGGGCTGGAAAGTATTCCAAGTCATGAAAACCAAGGATGTACAACTAAGATTGCTCTGTACAGCAAAACTTTCATTTAGAATGGAAGGACAGATAAAGTGCTTCTCAGATAAGGTCAAGTTCAAGGAGTTCATCATCACCAAGCCCATAATATATGAAATGTTAAAGGGACTTACCTAAGAAAAAGAAGATAAAAAAGATGAACAGTGAAAGGACAGCAAACTCACAGTTATTAAGAACCACACCTAAAACGAAAGCAAACTAAAAGAACAGCTAGATCAGGAGTGGAAACATAGAAATGAAGATCACATGGAGGGTTAGCAACAGGGGAGTGGGAGAAGGAGAAGGGGGGAGAAGGTAGAGAAAATAAGTAGCATAGATGGTAGGTAGAAAATAGATGGGGGGGAGGGTAAGAATAGTAGGGGAAATATAGAATCTAAAGAACTTGAGACAAGTGGTCATAAACTAAATGGGGGGGAATGGTATGGGAGGGTGTGCAGGGTGGAGGGGAATGAAGGAGGGGAATAGAACAACTGTAATGGTATAGTCAATAAAATATATTTAAAAATAATAATAATACCGATATCATGGGGCTATCGTGAGGATGAACTGAGGTTTGGAAGGAGCACTAAGCAGTTAGCTCAGAATCTAGTCTGTGTTGTTATTACAGGGTGGGGCGAAAGTAGGTTTACAGTTGTTTGTAAGGAAATAGTACAGTAATTAATAAATACTAATACAACAACAACAACAAAAAAGGGAGTATATTAATCACAAGGAAATAAAGGAGTGTATATACTTAAAGCTTTGAGAGAATAAACTGTTTTCAGAGTCGGTAAGATACCCCATAAGTACCAATTACGTAACTCATAACAAACTCCAGATGTATTAAATATTTTTCAGGGGAAAGGAGGGAAGGGGACAGGAATTAATGAACAATACCAACATTCTAGATTGGAACAAAAGTTGAAGCAGCATTTAAGAAATCTTTTTTTAAAATATATTTTATTGATTATGCCATTATAGTTCTATTTCCTCCTTCATTCCCCTCCACTCTGCACGCCTCCTCCCCCACCATTCCCCCTCCTTTAGTTTATGACCACGTGTCTCAAGTTCTTTAGATTCTATATTTCCCATACTATTCTTACCCTCCCTCCTATCTATTTTCTACCTATGGTCTATGCTACTTATTTTCTCTACCTTCTCCACCCTTCTTCTTCTCCCACTCCCCTGTTGCTAACCCTCCATGAGATCTTCATTTCTATGGTTCCGTTCCTGATCTAGCTGTCCTCTTAGTTTGCTTTTGTTTTAGGTGTGGTTGTTAATAACTGAGTTTGCTGTCCTTTCACTGTTCATCTTTTTTATTTTCTTTTTCTTAGATAAGTCCCTTTAACATTTCATATATTATGGGCTTGGTGATGATGAACTCCTTGAATTTGATCTTATCTGAGAAGCATTTTATCTGTCCTTCCATTCTAAATGAAAGTTTTGCTGGACAGAGCAATCTTGGTTGTAGGTCTTTGGTTTTCATGACTTGGAATAGTTCTTTCTAGCCCCTTCTTGCCTGTAGGGTCTCTTTTGAGAAATCCACTGACAGTCTGATGGGAAGTCCTTTGTAGGTGACTGTCCCCTTATCTCTTGCTGCTTCTAGGATTCTCTCCTTCATTTTAATCTTGGCTAATGTAATTATGATGTGCCTTGGTGTGTTCCTCCTTGGGTCTACCTTCTTTGGGACTCTGTGAGCTTCCTGGATTTCCTGGAAGTTTATTGCCCTTGCCAGATTGGGAAAGTTCTCCTTTATTATTTGTTCAAATAAGTGTTCCACTTGTGGCCGTTTTTCTTCCCCTTCTGGTATCCCTATAATTTGGATGTTGGAGCGTTTAAAGATGTCCTGGAGGTTCCTAAGCCTGTCCTCATTTTTTTTTAATTCTTGTTTCTTCATATTTTTCTGTTTGCTCATTTTTTCTTCCTTCTGGTCCACTCCCTTGATTTGAGTCCCAGTTTCCTTTCCATCACTATTTGTTTCCTGTGCATTTCCCTTCATTTTAATTAATTTAGCCTTCTTGTGTTCCTCTAATTTGTGGCTAAAATCAACCAGTTCTGTGAACATACTGATCACCAGTGTTTTGAACTGTGTATCTGATAGTTTGGCAATTTTTTGGTCACTTTGAGTTATCAGCTCTGGGGGTTTAAGTTGTTGAGCCATGTTTCAATCTGTTCTCACAGGCCGGGGCTGCCCAGGTTGCTGGGTTGTGATGCTGTATGTGGGGACAGGGTCAGAGAGGGAAAAATAGCGGTCCCCTCTGCTGCTTCCCACCGCTGGGGCCTATGAGGTCTGTCTCACAGCTGGCTCCTTTGCTGGTTTATCTGTGCTTAAATATGTGACTGCAGTCAGCCTGCCGCCTTGAACCTTCACTGGGTCCGCCTGATGCTACCCCACACCTGGGATCTGCCCTCGGCTGCCTGTGTGTCTGGGTTGGGGGATCTTTTTTGCCAAACCCGGTCCACTGCTGCCTCCGCCCCCAGTACCAGTCTGCCCGAATGGTTCATTGCTGTCGGACTTCCATATAGTTCAATTTTGTGTGGTTTGGCTGCATTTTCTGTTGCTAAAACTTTGTTGTTTTTAAACTTGGTTTTGCAAGAAGGAGTAGTGTTTCCACCTATACCTCCATCTTGGCGGAAGTCGAAATCTTTTTGTCTTTGATGCAGATAAATTATAAGAACTAATATAGCCATATCTGTAGTACATTTTTTTAATATTGCAATACCACATATATGCATAAAAGTACATGCTATAAATGTAAACTGGATTTTCTAAAGTGAACACACCTTTGGAATCAACATCCAAATAAATACAATGTAGGGTGGGGCAAAAGCAGGTTTGCAGTCGTGAGTACCCAAAACACAGCATTCTTGATTGATTGACTTATTTATTTTCCATGGAAACAGCTGTAAACCTTCTTTTGCCCCACCCAGTATTACTAGCATTAGAACTAAATAACTTTTTATAACACACCCACTTAAAAGGTAGAATTTAATTATTTTTTGAATATTTACCGAGTCGTACAGCCATTGCCACAATGAATTTTAGAACATTTTCATCATCCCCTTTTCCGCCCCCTTCACCTCACCCCCACCTCCCCTCCAAAAATCCAAAACCAGTTAGTCTCACTTTTAGTTACTATTTCTATGGATTTGCCTGTTTTGGACATTTCATATACATGGTATCATACAGTATGTGGTCTTTTCTGATTGACTTTTTACTAAGTATAGTATATATTTAAGGTTCATTCATATTTTGGCATCTTTTTTTTTTATTTGCCAAATAATTTTTTATTGTATAGAAGTAATACATTTCACCTAGCCATTCATTAGTCGATGTACATTTGGGTTTTCATTTTGGCTGTTACTAAAATGGTGCTGTGAAGAATCGTGTACAAGTATTTGGATGTGTTTTCATTTCTTTTGTTTTTTGTTTTTTGTTTTTAATTACTTTATCGTTGTTCAAGTACAGTTGTCTGCATTTTCTCCCCACCACTCCCCCCAACCCCAGGCAAACCCACCTCTCTACCTTGCTTCCACCCTCCCTCTTGGTTTTGTCCATGTGTCCTTTATAGTAATTGCTAAAAACCCTTCTCCCCTCTATCCCCTCCCTCCTCTCCTCTGATTGTTAAGATTGTTCATAATGTCAGTGTCTCTGGTCATATTTTGTTTACATTTTTTTTGTTGATTATGTTCCAGTGAAAGGTGAGATCATATGGTATTTGTCCCTCACGTCCTAGCTTATGGATGGAACTGGAGAGCATTATGCTAAGTGTTTTAGTTTCTTTTGGATATATAGGCAGGGGCCCCCCAAAACCCCAGAATTATCTTCTGGACGGTGGGCATCTTGTAGTACATAACTTCCCCACTAGCTGAGTGTTCTAGGAACCCATCTGTTTCAGTGGTCCAGCTGGCATTGGACCACTTCAGTGAACTTTTTTGAAGGCTGTTTCAACACATTTATTCATTTCATGATGGGTAATCTATGAGCACAATTCCCCACACGGTGCTCAGTGTTTATCTGTTTTTGACCAAAAACAGCAGTACCCTTGTGCCCCACCCTCCCTGTTTCCCAGATCTAGCTCCAAGAGACTTTTTTGGTTTCCCCAAATGAAAGAGTCCTCAAAGCGGAACATTTTTGCTCATGTGGAAGAGGTAAAACAAAAAACAGCAGAAGCACTAAAAAGCATCAAAGTCAGTAAGTTCAAAAACTAGAATTTACATACTAATTTGGTGAAGGAAATAGACATGCAAGTCCAGAAAGTGCAGAAACTCCCAATTATGGATGCAAAGAGGCCCACTCCAAGACACATTCTTATTAAAAAGCCAAAGTTTAACGATAAAGAGAGTCTCTTAGGAGCAAGAGAAAAGACGTTAATTACTGGAAGGTTGCCTTATAGGAGAGGGGCCGAGGATAACCAGTGAAGAGGTGAGAGGATTAAGAAGTACAAATGGGTAGTTACAGAATAGCCATGGGGATGTAAAGTACAGAATAGGAAATAGAGTAACCAGAGAACTTATACACATGATGATAGACGTGAACGATGGTGGGGGGAATTGCCTGAGGGAGTGGCGGGTGCTGGTTGGAGGGGGCAAATGGGAAAATCAGCATAACTGTAATAGCATAGTCAATAAAATACAATTTTTTAAATATTTTAAGCAATGAGAAAAAAGTCTTCATAGATGAACAGGATCAAATGGAGAGTACTATGAAGGTGACCAAAGTTTAAACATGTGAAAATAAATACACAATTTTTATAACTAAAATCTGGGGGAGGTTGGGTGCCTCATCCCACCAGCAGCGGTGTTTAGAGTTTTAGTTTCTTCACATCCTTGTTAATTATGGCTATCCTAGTGGGGATAAAGTGGTATCTCATTTTAGTTGTGATGTGCCACTTGTCTGATGGCATTGAAAATTTTTACATTTGCCTATTGGCCGTTTGTATATTTTTGGAGAAATACCTCTTCAGATCCTTTGCCCCTTTAAAAATTGGGTTATTTTTATTTTTATCATTGTAAGAATTTTTTTTTGTATTATAGATACAAATCTCTCATTCGATATACTATTTGCAAACATATTCTCCCATTCTGTGAATTGTCTCGTTACTTTCTCGATGATGTCCTTTGCAACTCAAAAGTTTTAAACTTTTATGCACTCCCATTTATTTATATTTTTTCTGGTGGTTGTTGTTGCTTATGCTTTTGGTGTCATACTTAAGAAACTGTTGCTTGATCTAAGGTGAAGATTTACTGTTATGTTTTTTCTCTGAGTTTTATAGTTTTAACTTTTATATTTATATCTGTGATCCATTTGAATTATTTTTTAAATGTGGTATGAGGTAGGAATGGACTAAATTTTATAGGTAAAACCATTAAAGTGCTAGTGGAAACATAAGTAAATATGTATATAGTCTTTGGGTGGAATACTTACTGTACATGATACCAAGGCAGAAAACATAAAGAAAAAGTGACAGAATTGGGTGCATAAGAAAATAAAATTTTTGTATGTTTATCCACAAAGATGGAAGGTAAATGATCCTAGGAGGAATATTTGTATGAATGCAGATTTTAAAGTGTAATATTGGAATGATTATATGATTTGTAAGTCCTAAGTCTAGCATGATATTTGGAAACTAAAATTATATATCAGCACTCTTACTCAGAACTAGACTACAGTCAAAGACTCAATCTAAAGGTGTAAAATTTACATCAGGCTTTTGTTTTTGTTCAGGGAGTGAACTCTCGAAACCCTCGAAGGCCGCCCCCTAGTTCTGTGAATACAGGGGGTGTGACAGAGATCATGGCAGAAGGAGGCGAGTTGGAGTTTGTTAAAAGGATCATCCATGACAGTTTACAACTGAAAAAAAGATTAAGGTAAGTTGATTATTACAATCTGGTAACATTTTCCCCTGTGTAGTTCCAAAATAAAAATGCGACACTTAGAGTCAGCGTAATCACAATGATCTAAAAAACGAACATAAAACAATTGAAAAGGTAGCAGCTCCTGCAGTCTGCAAAGACCCTGTTTCTGAGGAGCGCTCATGCCTTTAATTGATTTGAGTTTCCTGTAATCATCTGTACTACATGGACAGAAAGGAGGAAAATACCATATATTACTTTTATTTCGGTACTGTGATGGAACAAAACTGATTGAAATATGGCTTTTGATTAGAAAGCAGATGGGTTCAAATCATTCCCATGAACCAGAATAAATTTGATGCCTAGTCCTCAAAGCAATTTGTGTTCTTGGAATCATTCTCCCAAACAACGACAGATGTGAGGATATTGAACTGTCAAGAACTTAATGAAGGGAAACTGAAATCACTAAAACAGTTCCAGAGGAAAGTTAAGTTAAAAGCTAATTATTTTGAGCAACATACCTGTTATTAAGCAGCATAAGGTAGTCAAAAAGAGCTATTTGCCTCACTTGACTTCTCACCCTGCCAAGTGTTGTTAAACGTGGTAGTTTAAAACTAAAAGGTTTTCAACCCTAGAATTTAGCTTTGAGACATAGAGAAGATTTTTGTTTTTAAGATTTTATTTACCTTTTTTTTTTTTTTTATAGCAAGGGGAGGGAGAAAGAGAGGGAAGCATCAATATATGGCTACCTCTTGAGTGTCCCCTACTGGGAACCTGGCCCATAACCCAGGCATGTGTCCTAACTGGGAATCAAACTGGCAACCCTTTGGTTTGCAGGGCAACACTCAATCCACTGATCCACACCAGCCAGAGCTAGAGAAGATTTTTTTAATTGAGGTAAAATACACATAACAAAATTTACCACCTTTACCTTTTTTTTTTACCTTAACCATTTTTAAAGCATAAAGTTCAGTAGTGTTAAGTACATTCATATTGTTGTGCAGCTGATCTCCAGAACTCTTTCCTTTTTGGAAAGGTAAAACTCTATACTCACCCAACCCCTGATAATCACTGTTCTATCTTTTGTCTTTATGAATTTGATTGTTCTAGATACCTAACATAAGTGGAATCATATCATTTATGTTTTTTTCTGACTGGCTTCTTTCACTTACCATCATGTTCTCCGGGTTCATCCATGTTATATTGTTTGTGTCAGAATTTCCTTTTTAATGCTGAATAATATTCCATCGTGTGTGTGTGTGTGTGTGTGTGTGTGTGTGTATATAGCACTTTTTTTTTTTATGGACATTGGGTTGCTTCTACCTTTCAGCCGTTAAGGGTAATGTTGCTGTGAACATGGGTGCAAGTAGCTCTTAACACTCTGCTTTCAGTTCTTTTGGGTGTATTCCCCAAAGTGGAATTGCTGGATAGGGAATACTTTTTTCTTTTTCTTTTGGATTTATAGGTGTTTAAAATTGCTTATTTTAGTAAAAGGCCAATTTCAAAATAAAATATCCTGATTTGTTAAATGAGTTTTTAAAAAATATTTGTGGGAAGCAACTGGATTATTGGATGATCTCTCATAGAAAATTCACACATTGTTGAAGCCAAAGGTTAATAAATTATTGTTTTAAATTGATCCATTCAAAGATCCGTTACATATTTAGAAAAAAGAGGCTAAGTAATACTGAGCACTGAGAAGAGTCTGAGTAGGTAACATAAATCTAAAGAGCCTGAAACTCATAAAAAGAGGTAATCTGGGCCATTTCCAGTACCTGTCATCTTTTGAGGGGACTGGTGGTAACCAGGAAAATGGAGAAGGTTGTTTTCAGGAGACTTTTAATCAGTAAATTTCTGTTATTTCCAAAGTCCCTTTGAACTACAAAAATATGTTGTTAAGTAATACCAGTCTAAGGGAGAGAAATTGGCCAATATGTTTCAAGTCTGCCTGTACCTGGCTCTGTGGTAGCCCATGAATTGAAAAAAAGGAATACATTTGCTAGGAAGGATAAATTTTGAGAACCTGTCATGTCTCTAGAGTTGACTGGAGCTTGGTGGCCCCTTACCCAGTTCTGATTTAAAACCTGGTTTCAGCCCTGGCCTGGTGGCTCCATTCACTGGAGTATCATCCCGTGCACCAGTGGGTTGCGGGTTTGATCCCTGGTCAGGGCACATAACTAGATTGCAGGTTTGATCCCCAATTGGGAGGCAACTGAATGATGTTCCTGTCTCACATCAGTGTCTCTCTCGAAAATCCATGAACGTACTTGGATGAGGATTAAAACAAAAAAAACAGGGTTCAGGAGTCTTGTCTGCTCCAGCAAGTTGGGACAGATGAATTTCTTGAATGTATTATTTGCAAATACTGTTTACAGTTTCATACTGTGCTATGGCAACTTTCATTTGTACATGTATTACTTGTTCATGTCCTCCTGCATATTTTTATGGTCAACATAATGTTTATGCTACTATGCAATTCTCAAATTTTATAATGCTGTGGAAACTGCATGTTTTAAAGCTCTAAAAATAGATCTCAGTGATGACACTCGAGATAACTCCCCTGTAGCACCTGCACTTTTGTATCTTAAGGAATTTTGCAGCTGGGAGTCCTTTGGGGGGTACAAGTTGTACCGCCTCTTAGTTTTACAGATTAGAGACTTGGGACCCATTATCTCCTGATTCTGGTCCAGTGCTCTTCTCACCACTCCATTTAGCCTCTGGGGCCCAACCTGCAATTGGACTTTTAATTAGACAGCCTTTTTAAAAAAAAATTGATACAATTGACATACAGCATTATCAGACAGCCCTTCTGTCAGCGATTTGCAGGTGTTTGTTGTGCCTATGACTTGAGTTTACTTACTAGCATTTTCTTTTTTAGAGACTCACTCTCTTAACCTTTTAAATAAATTAGGAGACTTTATCAAACTTCTTATGGCCTAAATTTCACTCTTGTCATTGGTTAGTAGTTCTGTAGATGATGCCCTTTATGAATAATTTTACTATTTTTCCAGGAATTAAACCTTTGTATCTAACAGTTCCAACTTAATACTGGTTTCACCTAGTCTCCCTCATTTTCCTTTTTTCTTTTCATTACGTACCCCCAGCCAGATGGTGGATGCTTCTTGAATTTGGGTATAATCCAAGTATTTGGTGATGGGCAATAAATTTAATAATCTGGGCCTTTGAAAATGTGATTCAGAGGACTTCCGCCAAGATGGAGGCATAGGTGGATGTGACGTGCCTTCTCACACAACCAAGTTTAGAGACAACTAAATATTAGCAACAGAAAACACAGCCAGAACACGGAAAATTGAACTTTTTGGAAGTCCGTTAACAACAAATTCTTCAGCCTGACCGGTAAGGGGCGAAACCAGCGGCTGGTGAAGTGGGGTTGCACAGGAAAACTCAGTCGGATGGACTCAGGCGCGGAATACAGACGCGTGGAATCCAGGCGCGCGGAATCCAGGCGCAGGGTTGGACCTAGTGAGCGACCGAGCGAGCCACCAGGCGAGCGACCGCGGAGGAGACAGCGGGGAAGCGGTGCTGCGTGTTGACTGTGGTCGCGCATTTGTGCGTGGGTGGACAGGTGAGGGAGTGGGCGGTTGGACTGGGGCCCTGTGGGTCCCACGGCAAGCGGCAGTGGAGGGCGCCACCATTTCCCTGCTCTGACCCCACCTCCACATACAGCGTCACAACCCAGTCACAACCCAGCGACTCTGAGTGGCCCCGCCCTGGTGAACCACCTAAGGCTCTGCTCCTCACCCAGCTGTGAGAAACAGCAGAGGGGGTCATCATTTCCCGCTCTGACCACGCCCCCAAATACAGCATCACAACCCAGAGACCTGGGAGTCCAAGGCTCCGCTTCTCACACTTAAAAGGCACGAACAGACCAAAAATGGCGCAGGAAGATCTCAAAGCCCCAGAACCTATAGATCTAAGCGATGAAGAAATAGCAAAACTCTCAGACACACAGTTTAAAACACTGGTCCTCAGGATCCTCACAGAACTGGTTGATTATAGCCACAAATTAGACAAATATATGAAGGCGAAACTAATTGAAATGAATGGAATTGCGCAGGACACCAATAGCAATGAAAAGGAAACTGGGACTCAAATCAATGGAGTGGACCAGAAGAAAGCAAATAATGGCCAAGCAGAAAAGAGTCAAGAAGCAAGAATTCAAAGAAATGAGAAGAGTCTTAGGAACCTCTAGGACATCTTTAAACGCTCCAACATCCGAATTATAGGGGTACCAGAAGGGGGAAAGGCACAGCCACCAGTGGAAAACTTATTTGAACAAATAATAAAGGAGAATTTCCCCAATCTGGCAAAGGAAATAGACTTCCAGGAAATCCAGGAAGCTCAGAGAGTACCAAAGAAGATGGACCCAAGAAGTAACACACCAAGGCACATCATAATTACATTAGCCAAGATTAAAATGAAGGAGAGAATCCTAGAAGCAGCAAGAGCTAAGGGGACAGTCACCTACAAAGGAGTTCCCATCATACTGTAGAGCTTCCCCTCCCTTTCTGTTTTTTAAACCTGGTGTTAGTATAGTTATGAAGTGTTACAAGTATTAGTTGTAGGGAACAATTGTATTGGTTTTTTTCTTTCTTTCTTTTTTTTTTTTAATTTGTCCTGACTGGGAATTGAACCAGCAACCCTTTGATTCACAGGCCAGCACTCAATTCACTGAGCCACACCAGCCAGGCCAAGTGTAGATTTTATAACTGAGCTTTTAGTTAATCCCCCAACTGAAAGGCTGTCCAGTTCTGTGAACTTTGACATGCCTTTGTAAAAGGGTAGGTCTGTAAGATTGATGCGATACCTTTTATGAAATTAAATAACAGAAGAACATAGCAGTCAGCTCAAGCCAAAGATAGGATAATGTGAGTTCAGAATGAATAATGACAATAATGTATTATAATCACCAAGTAAAATAAGCAGTGCAGTATGTAAGGAAGATAAAGAAAATGTTCTTCATTACAGTAGAATGCCAACTGATTAAATGTAGA